TCTGACTTCAAGAAGACTTGCAGTTAGTGCTAGCAACTTCTGGCTTCAAAAGGAGAAAATATAATTGTATAACTTTCAGAACTAGGAAACAATTTAGTGTTATTGTTAAGTTATTTTTTACCCCAACTATGCAAGATAGTAATGGTAACTGATATGGTTATAAAGAAGTGGAAAAAAAATATGAGTTTTGAGTCTGAACCACACAGTGAAACTTGCAAGACAAAATATGTGAGCTTTAAGAATATAGTTTTGCACGGCGAAGATAGTATGAAATAGAAATAGTTAACTTGATGTAAAGTGAGGAGAATAGTTGCCATTATAAAACCTAGCAAAGGAGGTAGTAGGAAATCAAATGATGGAATTTTAGATGGTTAAGGCTAAAAGAGAATGCTATTGAAACTTGCTAAAGTAGAAAGTGCAGGACGCTGATCCTATAGTCAGGCAAAAGAATATTACCTTTATCGCTATCTAGGAACCAAATACGAGTCAAAAGATGTTTAAAAGACATCTTATCAAAGGAAAAGGACAATTGGCGATTAGAAAAAGAACGACTGAAGTACTTGTGCTTGCCCTTGGACATTATTCCTAAACAAATGTTTATCCCCCAAGTGACGTTGTGGCGTATCAATAGCAGAAGATTAGTGACAAAAGACGTGCTGATAAAATGAGGATTCCCTATTGCGACAAGTGACAATGTATAATATCCCTTCTCTTTCTTTTACATTTTCTTGTTGTCTTTCTGTTCTTGTTTCCATTTCTCTGGGTTTTCTTTTCAAAAAAAAAAAATTAAATATGCAATTAAGTCTTTCATTTTTATAGTATTAATTTATTGATTTTTTTTTTTTACACTTAGCCTAATTGTGCCTCGACGCTGATGCAACTGTGTAACCATTTTAGCCTTCTAAGACAATTCATTCACATACTCTTATCATAAAAGGGAAGCTAAAGATTTTTTAGTGACGGTCGATGGATTTTCTTAGTATGATATTCACTTGAAAACATAAATTGTCGTTTGTGGAAAAAATATTCCCAGTAAACTACACAGTTACTACAAACTCAAACTATAATTTCAAAATTCCAAAACAAAGAAGCACATACAAGCATGTATTCAAACAAGCTACAAGCACAAATAATCATATCAAATAAATAAAAAACAGCAATGATGTTAGATGAATACAAGGAGGCAACCATGAGAATGATTTGTCAATCTAGGAGCACCAACTGAGCTCACCATCTAATAAGCATGCCCTACAAAGTCAACATTATGGCCTCGATAGCAGTTGACATTTGAGCAATGCCCGACTGTCACTTGAAAGGTGCATATCAATTGATTGTCGGGAAGTGCTAGACCATGTTTCATAACGATTCAGTCATCTGTCGGGACAATGCTCGACCATAATCACAGCCGTATACCGACAATATGCAACGCCCAACAGCTGTCATCTAAGGGGACAGAAACGTTTACCGGCTCATTAAAAAGGGACGTATTACAGCGAGATTCTATCCACCAAATCATGAAAACACATGACGTGTGTACCCCCCACCTGACAGATTTGTTCATCTAGTAAATATACTTAGAAAAAGAAGGCGAAGCCAGGTATTTTTCTTCTTCTTCTCCACTTTTATATACAGTAAATACAACATATATTTGGTTTCCCTAAATACTCGTATAAAACCCACTGACTTGATTGTTGGAGTTTAAACTAGGGAGCAGTTGTCGTCTTTTTTAGGTATCAGAGTTGCAGCCGGAGATATATCCAGCAACATCAGTAGCCAAGTATCAGGTAATTTAAACACCGAGTAAAATTCATTTCCAACTCAAGTAAACAAGGAGACAACAAACAACATTAAATAACCCAAGCAATCATAAAATTAAACTCCCGGATGCCGAGAAATACTTTCTACATGATACTATAACATGAAAAATAAAACAAAAAGAGCTAACCTGTAGTTATTAGAAATCCCGATACTCTCGTCCTCCTCATTCTCAAAATCATTATCCTCCTCCGTCCCCCTGTTCCCATTTCTCCTAGGTCTCGAATTCCGCTTCTTATACTCTATCCAAACGAGGAACACATGGAACAGACACTGCAGCGCATATCCACAGACCCAAACCCTAATGGGCACAGTAGGGTTCTCATCAGCCGTGCAAATCAACATCACAATCGACACAATCACGAAGGACAAGTTCCACATCATGTCGAGCGCAACGACAGGCTTGGAGTATCCCCAGTCAGCGCGGCGCTCCTCTAGCTCACGAGCAGCAGTCTCACGGACCAGCATTGAAGCGCCGCCGCGGCGCTGAGAGGAGACGATGCGGGAAAGGAGGATAGACAGAGGGGAGGAGCGAGAGGGGTCCGACTGGCGGCGGCGGAGGAGTGGGGCCATGGAGGAGAAGTTGGTCGGTGTAGACGGCTCCGACGACATTTTTCCCTAATTTGGTTATGCGAGTTCAGGAGTGGAACTGAATAGAAAGTCTGGCAAGGATAGAGGAAAGGGGTGAGTAGTGGAGGTGGCGGGGCCGTGGGGGGAGTCGGTGGGTTCTAGAGAGGGGAGAGATGGCAAGGCGACTTCTGAGGGCGGAAGATAAACGGTGAAAGGAAATATGCAGCCCAGTATTGAAATTCATTTATAAATAAACATTTTATAAATTATAATCAATTTGAATATGCAAGTAAAATACTATTTTG